GATAGTTCTCCATATTCCTTCAACACAAACTTCAACACGACCATAATAGTATCCACCACCAAGACGTATGTCACCAGATGTACAATTTGCTAATGACACAACAGCATAATATAAACATATACTTACATAGACTAACCTTCACAGTTTAATTTAATGACATTGTTAGTACAATACTGAATACTAGAATGAAGTCCAGAACTACAGGAGAATAGTGTTGCTTCATTACCCTGACAATTGAAATAAGAATAAATGATGGGAAACAGTCCATTAGTGGTCCCTCTGATGGATGAATGACCTATGCAAAATATTATATTTAAGCTTACACTTTTAATAGTGAAACAAACCATAGCTATAATATCCCAACTGAAAGCAAGCAATATCAGTTTCAATGTTATTCCATTTGCTATTACTGCAGACAGTTCCCCAGATTCCATTACTACAAACATGAAGTATTCCTTGGTTAGGTCTAGACCCACCATAAAGTCTAATATCACCATCTGTACAGTTTACTGAAGTATAATCATCTAAATAATATCAATTAATGATAATCACTATCATATGTATACCATTGAGTAGGCAAAAGACAGCAACTGCTGCATTGTATACATTAGGACATGATCCTGTAGTATTATACTGACAGTCAAATAAGCTACTCTCATTTCCATAGCACTGAACATTATAAAACTGATATGGATAGTTATAATTGTTCCATACATTTCTAGCACTTTTAGCTCCTACATGAATACACTAACAACAGGACAAAACATAGTAAAGATGTTTACCATAAGCTGAGTATCCAATGCTGGACAGACAACACTAGCTAGATTATTATCAATGACAGTATTATTATATCCACACACCATAACCCATGAACCATTGACACAGACTCTTACATTACCATGACGACTAGAAGGGCCACCGTAAAGTTCTATTTTATTTTCAACACAAGTATCTATAAAAAATCATGTAAATATTTTTGGGCACTGAAAGCACTCTCACTTTCACATCTGATACTTAATTCATGATAATTGCTACACCTATTATACCGCCAATAACTATGTAAGTATGGATACTTTCTCTGGTTACAGTTACTTAATTTTGATTGAAATGCACCACAAGATAGTTCATAAATCAAAATTGGATCATTACTAACACCAAAGTTAGAATTAGGAAGTACTATACCACCTAGACATAAAAATAATATGAATATCTATAGCACGACTATTACCTTGGTATCCTAATTCATGACATAAAGTGTAAGCATTTCCATCATTAGATGAAGACACAGTACAGACTGAACCCCAAACTCTATTCTCACACACTTCAACTCTTCCTTCAAATTCTGTAGCACCATCAGCTAATCTCACTTCACCAGTAGTACAAGTAGAATACTTCACATCAGTCACTATAAGAAAGGAATATCAATATAAAGTTATACATGACCTGTTTTACATTGACAAGCAACAGCAGCATCATCATAATGAGAACAAGAATATTCATGGAGTCCATTCATAGGACAGTCCCAAAGAGAAGACTCTGTCCCAGTACAGTTAAGATCATTAATGTGAATATACCATATTCCTTCAATATATGTGTCTTTTATTGCAGAAGCACCTAGTAAAAAGAAAAGAATGTACTTATAAACACAATCAGTATTTGTTACCATAGGGAGAGTATCCAAGCATTCTACACACTACACTTGCATCTTTTTCATCCCAAAAGTGATCACAAATTGTTCCCCAGACATTATTCATACACATTTGAACTCGTCCATATCTCCTGAAATAGCTACCTGAATCACTGTATAGACGAACAGTAC